GGACACATTACTTAACATAGAGCTGCTTCTCTGTTCTTTAGATTTCTCATTGGTTAAGTGGAAAAAATAGTGCCTGGATTATTGTGAGAATGCAATGTGATAACATTTATAATGCACAGAGCACAATGCCTAGCACATGGAAAGTACTCCAAAAGTTTTATCATTATCATCATTATGATGATTATTATCACCATCCTAATTATACTCAGACAATATTCTCCCACGCCCAATTCTTTAGTTACCAAGCTTTGGCTAATTTGGCTCTATCTAACTGACAATAAGTCAAAAGAGTATTCATTATATCAAAATATTGGCCAGAGAATGTGTTTGGGAAATTCACAACTGATCTCTTTTGTACCAGCATGTAAGGTTAGGATTACCCGATCATCTTCTTGTTTTATTAATAATGCCATGACATGGACTGTTTATAAAGTTATGCTTCAAAAATAAGTAGCTTATTTGAAGACACATGTTTTCAGCCTAAATTAACTGAGTGGAGATGTACTGCTTCGATTTGTCCCAGACAGAACTGAGTGGAGATGTACTGCTTCGATTTGTCCCAGACAGAACTATTCCCAAGGGGAGCCCTTTAATTCTAATATTAGAAGGAGTTGATGAATAAACCTTTTGGTGGGAGAGGGGACGGCACTTTGGTTTATTTATTTTTATATTTTGTTGATTCCTTTTTCATTTCAAAAACAATGTATTTATTTTAGCAAATTGAACAATTTGAAAGTATGCAACTGAAGAGTTAATAGTCTTCCCCATCTCACTCCCCTGAAAGATCAGTGTTAAAAGCTGTTGTGTGTCTTTCCACATATTTCTTTATAATAAGATTGTGCTAATACTCCTTACCAAACTTTCCATAAACACGCCTAGCCCTACCTATTAGGTCGAACCACATGAAATTGCCATTGTTATAGCTCCTCACCGTTTTTTAATATGAGCCCTTAAATTGAGTCAGACACCGAATGTTCTGTTTTATGCACATGCCTTACTTATTCCTTCTTGGGTTTGCTTTTGCTGCTGTACTTTCACCGCATACCCTCCATCCCCATTCTTTGTCTGTTCAGGCTGCCATAACAAATTACTACAAGGCTGGGTGGCTCTTGAACGGCAGAGATTTATTTCTCACAGTTCTGGAGGCAGGGGACAGTGTGCCAGCAGATTCAGTGTCTGATAAGGCCCACTTCTCACATGGTAGAAGAGGCAAGGAAGCTCTCTGGGACCTCTTCATAAGGGTGCTAATCTCATGCATGAGGGCTTCACTTTCCTGGCCTAATCACCTCCTAAAGTCCCCCACTCCACGTAAGATCACATCTACAATTACATTTAAACATATGAATTTTTAGAGACACAAACATTCAGTCTATAGCTCCCACCCCAACTCTACTCTGTCTAGACAATTTTTAACTGCCCTTCAAAGAAGAACATTCTTCAGCTTCTTAAACTCCCTTTACATTCATTGTCTAAATCACATTTTCTAATTTCCTCTGTAACACAATTTAGTAATTTATTATTTATGTTATTTAATACAGATATGTCATATGTTTTGTTCTTTTTCTCTATTGCTTCATGTTATGTTGCCTTACCTAGCTTTAAGTGCCTTATAGAGAAATGCTATGTTTAAATATCTGTATTTATTCAGGCGCTCATCTAAGGGCATAGGAGAAACTGTAAAAGTTTGTTTACTGAGTCTTTCATAATGCAGTCTCTTTTCCTATTAAGTAATTTACCAGTACTGGCATTTGCTAATGCTTACGCCTAGGGATTCTGTAACATTTGTATTATGTTTTCCTTGATAATGAATTTTTATTATAGGACAATTTAATTTAATGGAAATCAATCATGCAAATAACCTCAGATCCTGACCCCAAAAACTGTATTCTGAGAAAACTCATTACCAAAATTTGGATGGATTCTCCAGATCATTAATGATACTCATATTACATTACCCCAACATAGTAGGTATTTCATTAGTTATGTAAATTCGATTAAGGCTTTAAGAGGCTTTATTTAGTAAAATTCTTACAAAACATCAGTGGCCATTTTTAGGTCTTCATTCTCAATCTGTAAAAGCTAATACTAATATTTTTAGATGAATATATTTTTATCAATATTTGGTAATCACTTCCTATAAATCTGAGGTTTTATTTTTGTGGATAATATTTAAGAGGTTGTTTTCATGAATCTAAGAAATTATTTAGGCCTTCAAGTTTATTTACAATAGACTTTCCTTATTTATGAAAATGATCTCCATCTAGTGGACAACTTGTTATATTACAACCTACAGAGAAAAATGGAGCCCCTTGAATATGCCATATCAAAGCCCCTAGAATGTCCCACATCAAACACTTTATGACCTATTAATAAATTTGTTCTTAATAAGCAATATTATGGCAAAAATGTTAACTGTTTTAAGGTATTAGTGTTTGTTCTAAAACTTAAAGTGTAGAGTTTCTTTAAGATCTGCTTAATTTAATTAGAAAAACAATAATAAAAAACAAATTACTGTTATTTTTGGCTATATTCATATTTACTCAATTAAACTAAGGAAAACTAAAAATCACACTTCCACATCTCCTATATTTCTGTTTATAGGAGATATAAGTTTGCTTTTTATTTTTTAAAACAGTAACATTTGAATATTGATGGGAAATCAACTTTTTTTTAATGTGTTCACATTAAATCATCCTCATGCTGAAGAGCTTCCATAACTATCCTCTGAGAACAGAAATCTCTTATCCTCTCTCTATTCAGAGGTCTTGAATGTCTTTTCAGTTGTGTACTGAATGCTTTCAAAAACGCTCTTTAAATAAAGTATTACTCTTCTATAAAGACTTCTCAACTATCCCACCTTGGCGTAATCTTATCTCCTTCGTTTTTGTATCTCAGTGTGCTCCTATTAAGTGCTTAGTAAGTCCTTATTTAATTAAGCATATCTAAGAAGAGCTTGCCAGAAATCCCTAATATGTCTTTTTAATGATTAGAGATCCCTTTCTCCTTTTGGCCTTCCTCAAGATTGCCAAAAGTCCCACATACATGAAGTGCCTCTCTGAGTGAAACAAATATTCCCTGTTTGGGTGTCACAGTTACCAACATACATTTGTGGTTTACATAATTACGCATTAGAGCTGGAAGAATTTCAGGAACAGTAGATAATTAAATCCAGTTAGCTCAGTAACTTTGCTCAGGTCACTTTTCTAGGAGCTGGTATTCTTTTCTATAAAATGAGTCTGTTCAACTAGATAATCTCTTATTGTCTTTCACGGACCAAATAAATGCATTTATAAAGTGACACAGTTCTAAGAAAATTTTAAATTGGAAGACAAGTTTATGACTGGTCAAGCTATATTATATGTTTTTCCTTTTTTTTTTTAACTAGATGGATTGATTTGAAGTCAATGTTTTATTTAGTCATAGATTCTTAAGTGATTCATGAAATATCAAGACTCTAGCTTATTCTTCCACTTTGGCTTTCAATCTTTGTGTTATAACACTATTTATTAATAATTCCAGTGAAGAAAATAAAAATGTTTTGAAATTTACTGGTTAATAGTTTGGGTAAAGACTCTAATGGGTAAAATATTAATAAAAACTGAATTTGAATTAATTTATGTATTTGTTCAACAATTTTTAACCACATTCCTGAGTTGTCACCCTTCTCTCGTAAGAACACATGTGAGTTGACTTTATTTTAATGCTGGTTGATGTTTGATTAGAAAAGCTCTTTGTGGAAGGTTTATATAGATTATAAGGACTGTGATGTTAAAAACTGTACATGTGTGGTTCTTTATTCCCTCAACTCTAAAATCTGTATTGCTGAGCACAATGCCTTTCATTCATGCATGCATTCAGAAAACCACTAGTAAAGGTATCTGAAGCGCTAATGAGTCCCCATCCTCAGAGAGCTCACAGTCTAGGAATGGAGACTAAGTCGTAAGAAGTTTCAATTTACCGTAAATGCTACCAATATAGAGTGGGAAAGTGTCTTGGGAGCACAGAAAAAGGCATCTCATAAAGCTCTGGGGGATCAGGGCTGCCTTTCAAGTGAATGCTATGTCCTCAAGGATGAATAACAATTAGACAGGGAACAGTAGGATTGAGTAATTAGGAGAACAGAAGGTTAGATAGTGATAGATTGAGAGAAGGAAATGCTGGTTTAATATGAGTGGAGCATGAAGTGCCTGATGGAAGAGGGTTGCATATTGAGGCTGGGAAAATAGTCAATTATAATTGAGATGGATTATTAAGACTGTCAGAAATTTGGACTTTATGCTGAGGGCAATAGTGAGCTACTGAATGGTTTAAACTGACAAATGACATAGATTTATTTATTTATTAATTTTAGGAAAAATTACTCTTGGCACAAGGTGGAAAATGGATTTAAAAGACTAATTTTAAGGTTGTTGTAATAATGCAGGTACAGTTGATAGAATCCTAGTTAATATATTGGCAGTGGGGATGGAGGGAAGTGGATACAACAGACATTTGTGATTGGATAAGTGTAGGTGAGAGAAAAAGAAGCCCAGGTTTGGGGAAGCAATGATGTTAGGCATATAATGAGCATCTGTTGAATTGAATCCACATATTTAGTGAATTACTATGTATTTGTTCTTTTCCTAAAAGGAATTCTGTACTTAGGAAAACTGTTCTTTCCAGAATGGTTTCTATTTAACTAAAGTTGAGTTTAGAGAGACTTATGTCTTGTATCTGGTTGGTTATCAAAAGTACACCAGAGCTTCTGAAGACAAGAGTATGAAGTCAATGTGTTTTTGCTTT